CTTCCGATTTATTTTATTTAAAGAACTCATTCTTTCTATTATCAATGGCCTTGGAGTGACAAGATCTAGATTTAATATCTGGTTCTACTACTTACTGTAGAATTATACTATGAACGTAATCCAGTATTAACAATTAACAATATACTTAGAGTAAAAGTACGAAAGCCCCTTTACAAGTACACTATTATGAAACCAGGGAGAAAAACAGAGAGGCAAGACATTTGTCGGACACAGAAATGGTTTATTGCCTGTTGATGATAATGTGTATGGTATTCTCAACTGGACTAGTCTGCGGTGGGTAAATTCTCTTAATAAGCCAAATGATATATAGCAATTGAATTTTTAAAAAATAATAATAATAAGAAAAAAATGTTAAAAATATACAACATATATATGCATGATGGTGGTGATGGTGTGTGTGTGTGTGTGTGTGTATACACATATATTTTCCCCTAAGCAAACATCAGAATATTTGCTGTTACAAAAAAAATCAATCAAGATAAAATTAAATTTAAAGCATCTTTTGCCCATGTAAATTAAAAGCAAAATAAGTACATATTATGTAACAGGACAAGGAAATTCTTGGTGGTTACATTTGACCTTGCATTCAAGGCCATTCAGATGCTATTAAGGAGGTTTGGTGCTGCTCTGGTCTGAATGTGTCCCCTAGCAAGTCATGCATTGGCATTGGGTTGTACGGTGAAGGTATTTAAAAATAAAGACTTCATCTGGCTGTGGTATTAAAAGGTAGGATCTTCAGGAAGTGATTAGGTATCAGAGTGGGGCCCCCATGATTGAGTCCTGGTGGGTTTACAAGGAGAACGAATGAGAAGAATCACGCTTTGCTCTGCTCAAGCTCTGGCCATCTGCCATGCTATTCATCAACAAAAAGACCCTCACGGGATGCAGACCCTGGACCTTGGACCTCCAAACTGTGAGGTAAATAAATCTTTATTTTCATAATTTACTCAGACTTGGATATTCCCATTATAAACTACACAACAGACTAGACTAGCTTATGCCGATTTGTACAGGGTCGGGTATTCCACAAAGACTTCACCCTCTTTAACTTCCTTTGGAAGAACTCCTGGCTCTGGCGTGAGGAGGAGCACCAGCATGAGCCATGGTGAGAGGGAGCTGCAAAAAGAGGGTGTCTAAGCCTCCTTGTGGCAATTGTGGCACCCAGAGAACGTCCTTGTCTAGGTGGATTCTGCTCTGGAATGACTGATGCCTGCTCTTTTCTATCCTGGGCTTTAGAGATACTAGAGTGAGTGAACAGGTTTATACAGAGACTGAAACCAGGTATGGAGGATATAATGAAGAAAAGTTAGCCTGGAGAAGAGACTTCCTCAACAAACTGTAGAGAATTTCAGTGAATAGGATCCAATAAATGGTTGTTGAATTTGTCAGTGAAGGATCTAGGCAGAGAAGACCCCTCAGACTCCAGGTTGCCTCTGTACCAATACTCTCAGGAGCCCAGGCCAGCCCAGGTCAAGTGGTCAGCGTCAATGCCATTGTGGATCCCCAATGCAGATCTGAGCAGGTAAACCACTGCTCTTTCATCCACCATAGTATTTTGAAGCTTTGGGGCATCCCAAGCCCCTCTGGAAGGCTTACAAGTATTACCAGTAAGCTGCCAGGAAAGACAATCAAACATTGCTCACCACAGAGGTAGGAATTTTTTTTTTTCTTTGACTGCATACTTTAACATTAGTGAAGTTCAAGTGAATTTGTGTGTGTGTGCATTTCTTTCCAGACCCTAGCATTTCCTTATAGAAGAGAGCTATACAACCTTGTCTTGAGACATTTTGCTTTAATGGTATTCATCACCTGATCTATTCATCACCTGGTTTATTTTTGTCTATTTCTTTCATAAACAAGAGAGAGAGAGATAGAGACAAAGACAGCATTCCCAACAGGGTTCCAGCACTATAATCCCCCCTGGTCTTCAGCCTGCTGGCAAGGCCTCATGAGACCAACTGTTCACAGGAAAAGAGAAGAGCGGAGATCCATGAGTATCCTCCACCCGAGGAAGGCTTCCATGACTGAACAACACCTCCTACCTCTCCTCAGCATAATGTCCTCAATTCTGTCATATCTCATGGGTCACGATGGTGCCGAGAGGGAGCTGAAGCTGGAGAGCCCTAGGAAATGAGTCTATTTTTTTTTTCTTGTGTGAGCCCTACCTAGAACACATGTTTTTGTTTTTGTATTTTTGAAATTTTGCTACAGGGCATGTGTGCTCACTAGAGAGACACAGAGAGAGACAGAGAGAGAGAGAGAGAAGGTAAGAAAGCACTTCCTGGGGAAATGGCCATGCTGGAATCCTCTCTTCCATTCTTCTCTCAGGATTGTGGGCATGCACATGTATGTACTTAGCATGTTTTTCAACATGGGACATATAGCCATGTGAAATCCAGCTGCCTTAACCACAATGCCACTGGCTGGCCCCCAGAATCCAAGTTTTGGAGAATCTTGGTAAACACATTTGTTCAAATAGGTGTCATGTACCAAAAAGTTGTCAACCTTCGTCTTCTTTTACATCACTTTTGGATCTTAATAAATGCGTTAACACTAAAATTAAATTTTAAAATTGAGGTCCTGGAGACGAGGACAAAGGGACAGCACATGGGTGCCTGTAGTGTCTTATTTTGGGTCCCAGGGGACAGAATGCTTTGACTGAGATGAGAACTCCAATGGCCTGGCCCCACCAGCCTCCAGAGAGGGGCAAGGGCAGGCTCTGGCTGCCTGGATCTATCTGGGATCAGCCATTTACAAAAGAAAGGTGAGAGATACTTGGCTTGGACAATGCACAGGACTGCTCAGATTTTTCCCTGGACAGAGAAGTCCCTGAGCACCTCCCACACAGGGACTGACTCACTGGTTTCCAGAATGACTTTACAGCACTTGTGATCTCATCACAACCAAAACAAACCCGCCTCCACCCAGGAGCCCGACTTGCTCTTGCTGTACCAAATCCTCTGGTGATAAAGGGCAGGAGGGGAAGCAGAGTGACCTTTGCAGGGAGTGCACTGTACTTTCTAGAGTTCTGAGTCACCTAGCTCCCAAGGAGAAGCCTTCTTAAAGTCACCCTTAGCAGTTAAACTTTTGGTTAAGACGGGAAAGTAATTCTGAGTAATATCTATTTCCTCCCCCCTGAACCCCCACACTGAAAAAGTGATACTTCCTACTTAGGGCTTCATGTTCAGTAAACGTAACCCTCAGTT